CGACTTACTACTATTCAAATTGAGAACAATATTGCCTGGTAGCGCGCCGCTGCTCTGAATATAAATTAGACTGCCCTCTAAATCATAAGCAGGAAGTACTTGATATTCTACCGGAGAGCAGTGGACCAAAATATTTTGGAAGATTAGGCCCAACAACATCCGGTGGAGTCTGACAACCAGCTCTGCGTATACTGCTGAGCCTGAGGGGATCTCTCAGTCTGGATGCAGGCCACACCGCTATCGAGCCGATGGCATGCCCATTCGAAGTCACTTGAGATTCTACAAGTTCTATTTCACGTTAAATCTGAATCCCACTTTGGGAGAATAAAATTGCTATAAAGTGGGGTGAAAGCTCCAAAATGTCCGCCATATGTTCGATAGAAAATAAATATTGAAACTGACAAAAATATAAAATGAGCTTCCAGTCCCATGGCCGAGTCGAACGGGTGATTCTGCGGACTGATAACAGACACATGGGGCACATCTTTGCACGTACGATCCTCACCGCCATCGAGCCATTATCGCCTACATCAAATGTTCGGCATGTGAAGTGAATTGGCAAGTAAAAAAATGCAATGAATGAATACGGTACTCGTATTAGGACTCCTGTGGTTCAATTCTTACGGATAGAGAGTAGTATAACATTTTGACATTCAATTAACGCGGTGACATTAGAATCCATCCCGTAGACTGTCGAGGATTCGGTCATGCGTCAGGAATGTCAAATTACCAACAGAATTTTGTCCAAGCTAAGTATTGAATCAAGCAGACACCATGTCTCTTCAGGAAATCAATTGCGGAAGAGCAGTCGATTTTTTGGGAGCCAATAGTGTACGGAGATGGAGATTACAACGGGGAGAATCCCGACAATCAAGCTATTCCAGTAATCTATTCCTGTGGACCCGGCTTCGTAGAATTTCTGTAGATGATGCGTGAGGGGCATATTATAGCGCATCGCAACTGGGATAAATAGACGTGAAAAGGTACGAGACAGTTATCCCGCCTCTTGGGCCTCTGAATTAGGCTAAGCTTCATCCTTATTCTTCAATCCTTCGTCTATTCGGTGTAATGTTCCTGGCGCCCACCTACGAACATTAGCAGACTTGTGGCTGGAGCAGTCAACGTAAGTTTTGTGAGTCTGCAGGCAATGAATAGGGATACCTAAGGAGGCCGACGACCGCGTCACGGGGAACTGAGCGGAGTACAGCAGGTATCATGGTCGGATGACGAACGAGCTCGCAAAGCAATTCGCATGCATAATACTGTGTTAGCGCACTGCGCGATGCGATGCCCTCTGGGATGCAATCTAGGATAGAGGCGGCCACAACGACTTTCGCGCCGTCCGCGCCGTCCGAGTTGCGCGACATGAGAGTAAATGTGTTAAACACGCATTCAGTGGTGTATACGTCCGCGTCCCTAATACTGACACTAATGCAAATTAGGTCCCTTTGATGAACAACAAGTTCAAGCTGAACTCACCGCAGGAGGCGTACGAGTTGCTCGCACGGTCGCATGCTGAGAACAGCCGCCACCGTAGACTCATGTAGCACCAAATACGCCAAAATCCTTAATAAATAAGCCTGTATGAGAGGTGCAAACGGAGATTTCAAAAGTTCCATCGCATAGTGGGGTACATTTGCCCTCACGACGGCGACGGCCGTAGACTTGTGCCATGCGAGGTTGGCAGATGTCCAACATGCGTCTGGAAGGTGCTTTTGGTTGGTGATAGTTGATGCTTTCAGCACTTCCACAATATCGTCTAAAATGTGTGCGTCCACAGCTGCGCTGGCAGCCACAGGCCCCGATAGGTAAGTGTGGGTGATTTCGCCCAGAGCCTCCCAAAAGAGATCATGGTCGTGGGTGTCACTAACCAGGAATCAGCCGTTGATTAATCCGGCAAAAATAACAGACACGAACCGTAAGAGAGATGCCGGCCGTACTGAAGCGATCAGGGAATCACAGATCTCTGCCGCGATGTCGTCGTGCTGTGCGAGGCGTGCACATAGATTAAATAGGCAGTAACTTATGTCCATCCGGTCTTCCAGTTCAAGGAGGTGATGGAACATATGTGAATGCACGACCAATGCCTCGGCCTTCTCCGCCGCCCTCATCCTAAGATGCCACAAAATCTCTTTCTTCGTCGTGGACGATACACATTTAGACCTGTGGAAGAGATTAACTGAGAGGCAAGCCATCGGCAAAATTTCATACGAAATATAGCTCAAATAGATCTCCGCGGTTAAGGGCAAAAGCGGAATCTTGGCATTGTCCCTCATGAAACCGACCGCCTGCCGGTGATACATAAACTTCATGAGTGGTTTCGAGGCCGCATGGAGGTCAATTGTGGGCCCAGGGGGATTACTATCCGACCACCAACTCTGCAAGCTTTGCAGAGTCCGTGTGCGAGTCAATGGCGGCATGGTGGGAGAAGAGAAAGAGCTGCCGCACAGCATGCGTGTCGTACGCCCATGTCACCGCCTCCTCTAATTACGGAATGGATAGAGGAGGCTTTAGAAGGCAACGCCCCCCTTCGCGCGGAACCGTCCTCTATAGGCTTGCTTGTTACATGTATAAATTGGTGGATGCTCGAGGAATATCGATCAGAATTGCACATGAAATTTGCATGAGATAGCGCAATTGAGCGCAAAAGATTGGCAAAAGCGTCGCCGAATGGGGATCGATATGCAACATCTCCTCCGATTGGTACGAGCACAAGTTAGAACATTGCGGCCTCTGTCTAGAAGAGTCAGAGGTGCTACCTATGCGCGCCACGGCACCACGCGCCCTCCAGCCGATGGCCGACGCGTCGATGTCGCGCCTGTCCGAGATGTGTCATGAACACGAATAGGGACCGTGACGTCACTCATTTGTGGAAGCGAATGGCGTTGATTGATTGTGATCTGATCGAACCGCATAGCTCTCACCTAAGTATACCAGGTCCAGCGCGCACAACACGACAAGATCGACGCAGGAGAAAGAGAGATGATAAGGTGGTGTTAAGGAAAGGCGATGATTGAAAGGGAAGGGAAAAGGATAGGAACGGAATCACAAAACTCACTATGCGGCGTATAACCCCGGGCAGAGTGCGCGCGTTCGACCATATGTCGCGCAGGGTGGTGAGCAGGAATGGGTTGTTGTTGGCTGCGGAGCTAATACGAATACGGGGAGAGTCAGAGCATGGAGCAGCGAGACAAGCCGGAAAGACGCACCCGCCGAGCAACACGCGCTCGCGCACGAGGTGGCACGCGAGGAGGAGGAGCGAGACGAGCGGCGCGAGGACCTCGAGGGACGAGGTGGCGTGCAAGAAGGGGGGCAGCATGGGGAGGGGGAGCGTCGCGCTGGGGCAGGGTTAGTTCATTTGCGTAGGGAAAATAAAAGAGCCCGTGCCTGGCATGAACGCCGCGCACGCGTTGCCCGCCGCCTGTGCAGATGGAGGGAGCGTGTCCACAAGCAGCGCACGATTTCAGCACCGTTTTATATAGCGCAAGGCACATAACGCACCAGCATTAACCGCAAAATCGACAATAAAAGTGGAGATGCATAAGACATTTCGACGCTCCAGAATATTTGCACGCCCAGTAAGCCCACGGTCAGCGTCAGGAGGTGGGTGTATGAAGGGCCTAGAATGCGGGCGTGTCCTTTCCACCGGGACCCGTCGGGCGCAGACGAGGCCAAGAGGCAGAATCCGCCAGTCATGGTCAAAGCGTGAATTTGGGAGCCTGGAGGACTGCGGAGTCACCTGGGGCGCCGATTCGATGTTCGAGTTCAACTTGATTCTGTAGAAGACCATTCCGCTCACAATATATTTGGAGATATTGCATGAACTTTGTTAAAAATTCTTCAAGAAATTTCAAGTCCGAGAAAAAAAAATCACTACAAGCAGCTGCATGGCTCAGGTCCGAGGTGAACGGGCACCTTCTGCATTACGGGAAAGCAATTCAACACATCGGCCACGGGATGCAGGTGCGCTCCCCAGCGCCACCGAGCCTTATCCCACCTATCTAGTCCCTGGACAAACCAGTTCAAAATTCGCTCTATTATATTTATCCCGAGCTTCGCCCAAAGTTCAACCTGTGGGGCGCCAGAGCCTGGGAAGTGCGTATGCGCATCCCGACCCAGCGAGATTTCCTTCAAACTTCCCGTTGAGTTGGTGAAGTTGCAACCAAGGAGCATCACGGCACCAAAAGTAGACCTTGCAAAAAATCTAGATGAGGAGAATATGGCTCAGGCTCGAGTCGAATGGGCTCCTTCTGCCAGATTTTCTTCCTGCTGGTTGGTGAAGTTGCAGCCCGGGAGGGATATTTACAGCATCAAAAAAAAGACCCTTCAAAAACAAAGTGGAGGACCGAATATGGCTCAAGCCCAAGTCGAAGGGGCTCCTTCTGCATATTGATCTTCGGGAATGATGGAGCAAATGCAGATGCACTCCCCAGCGCTACCGAGCCTTATCCCACCTATCTAGTCCCTGAATAAACCAACACAAAATTTCACAGTTCACAGAGCAGCTATCATATTGTTCGACCAACCTGTGCCCCTGGGCCTGCAAAGTGCTTGTTTCGCTCAAAGTTCAGCCTGTGTCAATCAATGGCTTCTCTTCAGGTGCCGGAATAGTCTCCCATTTCTGTTCTTGTATGAATTTTGAAAGGGAAGCTGGGGAGATATCTGGGACAAAAAAAAACTGTTAAATTTGTCCCTCCCTATAGCTCGGGCCCGAGTCGAACGGGCACCTTTTGCATTCGTCCAGGACAAATGAAGTCGACAGCAGATGCAGATGCGCTTCCAGCGCTACCGAGCCTTGTACCACCTATTTGGTCCTTCGATAAACCACCTTACATTTCCGTTCTAATTTTATACAACCCAGGCTTCAACCAGTGATACCTCCGACACGAAGATAAATATATTCTTGCCCCTCTAGATTTTTTTGGAACCCAAACTTCCTGCTGGGGGTGAAGTACAACCAAGGAAATTCACGACAAACAAAAAAAAAGGGATTCTGCTAATGGCTCAGGCCCGAGTCGAACGGGCACCTTCTGCATTACAGAATCATGGACCATGCAGCAGAGGCAGGCGCGCTCCCCAGCGCCACCGAGCCTTGTAGCACACAGTTGGTCTTTGGTTAAACCAACCACACATTTCAGCTCTGATTTTATGTTTCAAGAGATTCAACCCACCGTTCGACCTGTGCCCGGGCTTGGGAAGTGCCTCACCAGATTTTTTTCGCCCTTCCTGCATCAAAAAAAAGAGCTTTAAAATAAATAAAAAAGATACCAAGTACGGAGACAGATGCAGATGCGCTCCTCAGCGCTACCGAGCCCTATCCCAAATAATTAGTCCTCGGATAAACCACCCAGGCGTATATGGCGATTTGATGTATCACGGACTGCTAAGTAGCAGCGTGTCCGTGATACATAAAGACCTCTAATTAGCAATGCGCTCTGATACATCAGCTCACGCCATCACCCATTTCGACAGCGCCCACCTGCGCCGCATGGCGGCGTCGCTGCCCGCAATTTTGATGGCGCATACAAGGCGCGATGGCGTATTCCCGCCAGTCCCAATGCGGATGACATGTACACGTAAAATGATCCCATCACGTCTCCTCTTGCCTCCTTCGACCTCCACAAAATCACTTCCCCCGCTGCTTCTTGCTCCCAGACCTGGGGTTTGATTCATATGTCTCTAGCTTTCCATCTATCAAATCATTCTCCCACCTTACTTTTGTTCCCCGGGCTCTCCCTGTCCTCCTATGATGCCGCCGAGCCTCCTTCCCATTCGCGCCAATTTGCTTCCGCCACGACAACCGCGGTTCGGAATGCTCCCAAAATCTACAAATCTGTTACTAAAACGAAGGAAAACCGTCTCTCATCTCAAACGCGCGCGCGCCGCCTATTTCTGCGCTGTTATTAGATCGGAAACCGTTCCAGCGCTCGCTTACTTTCTGCCCCTCCTGCTTGCCCAGACGCCTAAACATAATTTCCACACGAATAACCCTTCCAATATTTATCACTACCGACAATATTCTCTCTCCCAGCCTTCTGCTTAGGCCCAGCTTTTGATTTCCTCATTTGGCACAAAACATGGTCCCTGCTCGATTCCCTGTGCCTCCGCCGACTGCAGCTTTCTACTCCTATAGATAATGTTCTATTATCCCACTCCGACTGTGTTGTGCATCATTCCGAGCTTCTGTTGGCTCCTTGCACTTTAACATCCACATTTGCTTTGAAACCTGGGTTCTGCTTCCTCCCGGTTTTTCTGTGAATAGTTGCATCTTCATTTTCCCATTTAAAGTCATTCTTGGACTCTCCAATGGCACTTGTGTGCGCTCCCAAGACCCTGATTTCTCCCCTGTACCTCAATTTGGTTTTACAGATACCGTGCTATTGTGCTTGTCCCACCCCTTTCGCAGGCGATAATTGCCACATAGAAGCTTCGGTAACAGTCTAAAGTATTTGTGCTTTAAGTCCTCCCAACCGCGCCGCGGAATACTGGTCATTGAATTTTTAAAGCATTGTTTATACCTATCGCACATACCCCAATAAAACGACATGTACTAGTCAGGCACTGCATTTCCAGACCCTCACTCTATTTTTTCCATCTCATAAAACATGTAAAAGAGTGAACTAAACGCATCTTACAGCTTCCACACTCATTGAACGGGCATATCGCAAATTTTGCCGCTACGGCTGTTTATGCCGTATGAGGAATATTCCGCGGCTCCAGTGCTACCAGAGTATAAATGAATGGTATTCATACATTTCTTGAAAGGTTGTTGAAACATCACCAATAACAGCCGAATTTCAAGCGGAGTAGAGGGCACGAGTCAAATACCACTGAACTGCTATACTGGGATTATGCTCGTGAACACGTACCTTTGTACAACTTTTCTATAATAACCTTCTGCTATCGAAAATTGGATATTAGGACATTTGGTTGAAGTTCCCGGCACGTTTTATGATGTTAGCGGTCCAATAGGATGACTTGTTGGCCCCCATCGTGGCCGTTTTCAGATTTCCTGATATTTCGGGACATTCATTTTACCCCAAAGCCAAGCAGGGCGAACTCAGGTCATTAATTAAACATTTTCTGTCGATTCAGAATTTTCGAAAAGTGTCTGAATCTCGTATACATTCACGATTGTTCTGTTCCTGATCGTCCAAAGTGGGCAAGTGTGATGGGGTCACGTCGTGACACTCCTTCTTCCTGCCAGCGCGCCTCTCCGACGACACGTCTGAAGCTTAATCCATACTGCCCTTGTGCCCAGAAACATGTGCAAGAGCTTTCAAGATGCTGTCCCCCCCTTTTCTGCTCGGATTTATCGGCTCTTAGTCGCGCTTTCTGTTTTTTCTTTTTCCTTTTCGGCGCTGCCTGTGTCTAACATTGAGGAAGGCCACCACACCGTTTTAAAGGGCGATACGAAGCCCATCATTTCCTAATTTCATACTGGCACTCAGTTTTCTCTTCTACGGCGATCCCCCATATCCAGAAGACGCCATTGATCCCGGTGGATGCGCATCCATCCGAGGTCGCTCCCCAGCTTTGCTGTATCCTCTAAAACTCCCCTTGCTTCTGGATCGCACATCCTCGCTCATTTCTCACCACTATGCAAGCTTTCCAGCACTCCCTCACTGCTTGTCCTTTGCCGGCGCCTTCCCCCTCCACTGAGTGCTGGATGATCTGGTAATAGCACTGCATGTGTGCTGCTCCATGAATGACCGATAATGGTTCATCTCCGATTCCTATCCTTTAGCCGCGGGCTACTGCCATCGCCGACGTGAACAACTGCCTCTCGCGATATTCTGGCTACCAGAACCGCGACTTCTTGGACAAGTCGCGGCTGTGGTGGGGGCTGCACATCGGCGGTCGCGTGCCGATTCCGACCCTATCAAATGCGCAGCTTTGGCTTCAAGAATCACGTCCGTCGGCTCAACAACCTACAGCCCTTCTGCTGTAGTCCACATCAATGAACAGGCCCGAAATGTTCGTCTGCCCCCCGCACCGCTCCGCCCCAGTCATCGGCGCAGGCAACGGGCGGTTCTCCACCTCGAATCCCCCGTACGAAACTCGAATTCCGTGCCGGTGGACACCTGAGTTTGCGCAGTCTCGATCTAGCACATCAAGGTTTGTTGCTACATAGTCGCAAGTCTGTCCCCCTTGGTTCAAGCACTGATGGCGAGCTTTTCTCATTTTCGCGCCAAAAATCAAATTCAACCCGTGCCGTAATAGGTATTAGTTTACTTGCTGCCTATTATGTATCATATGTACGAGTCAAGCAGCTCAGATTTATTTCATGTTTTTTGAGGCATATTTTGCGTTCATCGTCACACACAACATCAAGGACTCTTTGATCGTTGTGTTCCAAATCCGGACAGTTGTGCTCGTCGTGGTGCACAGTGGTGATGCCAGATATCAATGGCCTGATGGTTACCGCCCAGATTGAGACGGTCCTCTAGCCTGATGTATCAAAACACATCGCTAATTAGCGGTGTTTATGTATCGTGGACACACTGCTAATTGGCGGTCTTGATACATCATAGTGCCATACTGTGGTGAACCACCACGGAATTTCGCAGGTGATGTGAGATTCCGAACTTCAACCAAAAATCCACGATTCAACTTCAGGTCAGATGTTATTTACCAGTGAGATTAGTATTCGGGAAAGTGAGCATTCAACAATTTCTTCACCGCCGAATATCTGACAACCTCTACATGAATTTTCCGGGCCAAAACAAAGAAGAGGGGAAAAAAAGACAAGCCTATTGAATGTATGGCTCAGGCCCGAGTCGAACGGGCTCCTTCTACATTGCAAGGCTTGAATGACAAAGCAGATGCAGATGTGCTCCCCAGCGCTACCGAGCTTTATTCCAAATAATTGGTCCATGAGTAAAGCACCACGAAATTCCCAAATTCCACCAATATCTCGTGATTCTCTCCAAGATGTAGTGGTCTCCATACATGAAAAAAAAGTTCTTCCCCTCGCACATTTGGTGTCTAAGACGTCCTTGGTCTCTCAGATCTCAGTTCTAGATCCCTTCGTCTCTCGCATCGCTTCTTACATCGTTTATTGCTCTCTGTACCGATCCTCACGCAGCCCTTGTCATTTTGCTGGAAACTCTTTGAAGTGTTGAATTATTGATCCCCGCACTCTTGGTTCACGCGAACGAGTACTAGGCTCTCGCTGAACGAACCCTCTCCCTTTCTTCTTCAGCTTTTCAGTCCTTTCAGCGGCTTCCCGTGATCAAATCGTGACTGCAGGTGAACTCTCCCACATGCAGAAAACATGTTCGCGAACCATATCTGAGCGATATCCCAAAGAACAGCTGTACTCGAAGTGACTGAACAAGTTCATTAAAGCTTCCAGATTTGTTTCCGGAGAAAAATTGTCACGATCTGGCCTTATTGCATCAAAGAACCAGCTCAATTGCCAGTTTGGCTTCGGGCAAGTCAATTTAAGGCCCAAACGTGCTGCAAAGAACCCTAGACAGTTTATGAGTGGTCTTGAATGTGATTCAGGTCATTTATATGTCATTGGACTGTGCAGCGCAGTGGAAACGGAGACTCGTCCTGATTCAGCCTATGGGAGAGTTCAAGTATGGTCACAATTTGATCACGGTTATCTAAGGTCCGGTAAGCCCGGTGCCAGTAGAATCAGACTCAAGTTTATCAACTATTATCATAGACTTTGTGGAGTCTGGCTACGGGCGACTGGGTTAACTGCAGCTCTGGGTGTTAACAAACTGGTCTAGGTGCAGTGGCAGCTCAATGAATAAATACACAGACTACATATTGATGTTATGACCTAGACGTGACATGGCCTGCAGATCAAATACAGATGGGTATGTATTTGTCCAAAAATATGTGGAAAAGTTGAAGGGAATGAACAATAAGACTGAAATACAAACCCTGACAATCAGAGATACAAACTGTAATTCAATCCAATTTTTTAACTCCTTGCCTCCCCTCGTTCCCGAAATCACTTGTTTGAACCATATCCTCTTCCTCTTCCTCATCCTCTGCAACAAATTTCTCATCTGGGGTGCTAACAGGCACACACAATTCTGAAAGATGCTTGAGTTTCTCCTCATACTCAACCAT